ATTTCAGTGAAATCAGTATTACTGGCAGCATTTATTTTGGCCAAGAGCCTCTGCCGTTTAAAAGAGAGTCTGGCTTGGAGATCTGGCAATGGTGTAAGGATTGCATCAGTTGATATAAACATAGACTTTGTGAGGGGAGGGATGACAGCAGGCCAGGCATATTCTTGGTCAACAGAATATTGTGTTACAGTTTTCAGAGTGAGTATTCTTGTTCATGCAATTTATAAAATAAAAACTAGTGTAAACTTATTTAGAGAAATATGTCAAAACTACAAATGACAAGAAATCTTGATATCCAGATTTCATAGAGCATTTCTGATCAGCTATATCAAATCTTCAAAAGTCATTTTTCAAAAGGATGCATCTCCATGTTAAAGAAAATGTTTGTGGATCATCTGGTTCTTGAAGAGGTACAGAACATTATCAGCTACTGCAGGTTTATATTTTTTTTCCAAATCTCATTAATAATTCCGATAGTATTATTCCCTTTAAAATGATGTCTGCAAAGGCCACAGAAACATACAATATGATATGTATTTTCATTATGTTCTTTGGTAGAAGCAGATGATGGAAAGGTTGGGCAGGAAAGCAGGCAAGTGGTATAGTCTGCAGCTGCTAAGATGATTGGAAGATTTGGGAGCTAGAGTAATCTCTTTGCTACAAGACTGAACTGTCAGTCATTCCTGGTTCCAAGCCTGCCTCTGCCATGACCTCAGAGATGGCTTTAGACAAGTTATTTTCTATCACCCTACGGTGCACTACTGAGCTGCCTTATAAGGCTGTTGTAAACGTTAAGGTAATTGTGTAGGCTAAGCACTTGAACATTCTCAAAGGTGCTATTGAATATGAATCTGTTGTTCAATATTAAATCTGAGTCTTTTTCTTCTTTTAATAAGGTGTGGATTTTCATTCAGGTTTTGTGTGAATCAGTGTTCATTCATCCTGATATCTCCATAACCCCAACGTGATGATGCCTTGGTAACCATTTTTATGCACTGTACTCATTACAATGCCCTCAAGTCATCTGGAACTCACAACTGAGGCAGCTTACATTAGTTTTTGATTGTTCTAGTTTAAAGTAGAATTTCCCCTCCTCTCCCTACACAATTTTTACCATGGACATGATCTAACGCACTTCTAACACACAGCTAGTTTGTTAATGAACATGAGGTTTGGATCACTCTGTAACTTCCACAGAGGCATCTGCCCATGTCATGCCATCAACCATGGTATTCTTCTCCACTACTTGGAAGTCCAGGCAATTGCAAACAGCAAGAAGAAGAGGCATGATTGAAGCTTGAGAGTGGACAGAAACATAGTCAGGCAATACCTATTTACTTTGAATGAGTTTAAATTTCCAAGGTCAGATGAACTGTCTCCTAGTATAGTGAAGCTCATGGTCTGGCAGAACTTTATGTATTAGTTCAAAGAAATTCTTAAGTGCCAAAGCCCAAATGACTGGAGGAAAGTAAGTATCCCTATTATGAAAAAGGAGGATCTGGGGAATTACAGACCTGACAGTCTCATACTGATACTTGTGAAGATACCAGAATGTATCATAAAGCTTGACAACAGTGAAGTAATTTCCACCATACAGCAAAAACAAGTTTTGCCAGACTAACCTTTTCTCATTTTTTGATTGAGTAACTTCTTAAGAAGATTGTGAGAATGCTGTAGGCATAACTTACAGTAAACTCTTGGTTTAACGTACCTCAGTTCAACTGTCTTTAGATACAATTGACCACATTTTCATCCAGCCAGCAGCCTGAAGTAATGGACTCATCATTATTTGGGAAAGCAATCTGAACAACAGTCACTGTGCTTTTTAAAAAAATGGGTATTCCACATGGAATATTTGAGTCCTGAAGGAAAGGAAAGGAAGTAAAGGCAGAAGGAAAATCAAGAGGGCAGTGGGAAGCTAGGTACAATGTTTTATGTTTGGGTGAGGGAAGGAGGGTGCTGAGAAGAGGGAGATTATGATGGCTCCTCATCATACTGGAGAGAGGCATTGGGTAGGTGCCACAAAGTTCAGTCCAGGTTCCTACTCTTTTTAAAATTAATGTCCCGGATAAAGAGATGGAGGGAATGATTATCAAATTTGCCAATGGCTGGGATAACTAATACTGCAGAGGAGAGAAATACAATTCTTAAGTTTCTTCATAGGTTACAGTAATGGGCTGAAAAAATAATGAAGTTTAACAGAGACAATCTCAAAATTCTTCCCTGGATCAGAGTATTTGAAATTAAGTTTCATGAAGAAAGACTGAAGGAATTGAGAATGTTTATCCTTGAGAAAACTAGAGTGGGATATACTAGCACTGTTTAAATATCTGAACAGATGATATACAGAAGGTCAGGACTCATTGTCATTCCACAATGCAGAAAAAACAATAATGGATTTAAATTACAGAAAGGCCAATTTTATATTCTGTATAGCAGAATATAAGCAGCCATCTGACAGAGATGCTTTGTGTTCCTTCTTGCACTGGCAACAGGGGATTGGATGTAATGGTCTACATGTTTTCTTCCAACTCTATGATTTTAAGGAATGTCAGAAAAGTCCTTACAGAGATTTACTAGAAAAAAAGGGGATGGGTATATAAAGATATTCTGACTGGCAGATCTAGCCATAAAAGCAAAAATGAATTTATCTCTTTTGAAGAAAGGCTTGTAGAAGAATACAATGTTAACAGATCTTCTTTAATCTGAAATTCACATAGTTTGTACACTGACATATACTAAGGTTCACTTACCCATTGCTTCCAAAAATTGAAAGACTAATTCTATCAGGAGATAAGGAGCTTGAGAGAAGCATAATGAAAGTGCCTTGTATCTCCAATTTTTCTATAATCCCATTAGAAATCATAGTCATAGAGTTGGAAAGGTCATCTGGGCCAATACCTTTACTCAGTGTATGCTCTGCTAAACATTTCAGGCAGATAGCTATCCAGACTTTGAAGACTTCCAGTGGAGGGGAATGTGCCACTTCATCAGGCAATCTATTTTGCTGTTTAACAGCTTTTACATTAGAAAATTATTCCCAATGCCAAACCTGGATCTACTTCTCTGTAGTTCAACTCATTGGTTCTGGTTCTGCCCTCTGGCACAAAAAAGAACAAGTCAACACCCTCATCTGTATGACAGTACTTTATATATCTGAAGACTGTTATCATGTCTCCCCTCAATTTTCTTTTCTGTAAGCTAAACATGACCAGGTCCTTTTAATTGTTCCTCATGTGTCTTGGTTTCTAGTTCCCTCACCATTTTGGTAGCCATTGTTTGAACATGCTCCAGTTTGACAATGTCCTTTTTAGAGTGTGATGCCAAAACACAGTATTCCAATAGGTGTCTGATCAGGCATGTCTACACGGTATAGGGAAAAAAGTCAAAATGGCAGCCATGATGCTATCAAAATTCTGCTTGTTTTTTTTATGTGTGGTGCACACATGACACATATAAAAAACAGAGCTTTGATTACACTATTGTGGTGGCCATCTTCACTTTTTTGACCACAGCCTGCTAAAATGCTTGGGCCTGATTAAGGCAAAGCAAACATAGCTGTTATTTTCTATGATCTGAACAATATGTTGATTAATACATCTCAAAATAGCATTCGTCTTTTTAGCAGCTGTATTACACTGTTGACTCATGTTCAACTTGTGATCTAATAAACATCGCAAATCCTTTCTGCATACTGTTCATTTTGGCCCACTATCCAAGCTTTTTTTTTTAATCTTCTTTTTCTTCTAAAATGTTAGTCATTCCTCCTAATTTTGTGTCATCTACAAATTCAGTAATTCTCTCTACCCCTTTATCCAGGTCAGTAACAAGATTGTTGAACAGCACAGAACCCATGACAGAACCTTATGGCACTTGATTCTACCCTCCAAGCTATCTGGTTGCAGTCATTTAGCCCATCATCAATCCATCAAACAATTGAGGTGTCATGAGATTTTGTCAAAAGCCAAATACTATAAATACTAGAAAATATATCTGGTGCCAGAAATGACTAGATAGAGGTTCCCAAACTTTCCAGGTTCACGGCACCCTAGGGTTTTTTTCACAATGCCCCTAGTGGTTCCCAAACTGTGTGCCATGGTGCTGGGGTGCCACAGGGAGTTAACAGTTCTGTTTATTAAATGGCAAAATATCCTATGCCACCCGTTTACTGCAGTTCCCCTCTACACTATGTTGCAGTTTGGGAACAGCAGAACTAAGATAAATTGGATTATTTAGACTAGCTAACAGTAAATTGACTCTTGATGATAGGCTCCGTATTTGGCTTTAAATAGTTACCTTACAGTTTAGTCAATCCTAATTGGAATAAATTTTCTATCACATACTGGAAGGATCGGGTCATAGAAAAATAGTATTGCTGTTGGGTTGTTTTTTTTCTTTTCATTTAGAGGTCAGATAGACCAGTTGCCTTGCCTTGTCTGGCTCTTAATTAAAAAGAATTCTTCTTTAATCATCTCTTTGACAATTTGCTTGCTAAACTGCCAAAAACATGGAAAGCAAGTTCAATCCCTTCTTTCCCTAATCAAAAGCCCCTTCATGATGCTTTGGTGAAATATGATTCTCTGAAGCTGCCCAAAGTCCAAGATTCTGCACAGCCAATCCCACTTTTAAACATTTTATAATGATTAGAAACAGGAAGGTGAAGTATCTGGCTGGTATCCAGTTTTCTCCAGGTTACATGGAAAGACAATTTGCTTAAGTAATGTATCTTTTCTTTAATAACATTTCATAAATATCATATACAAATCTCCCTTGTTTGACTAGGTATTTTATTAAATGTATTATTTGTACCCCTGTTCTTATGATGGAACTGCCTAGGTAATTTGGTTATGCACATCTTAAATCTGGAAAAGCCAACCATTTTCACTCATAGCAATTGTGCCTTGAACTTTCCAGTGGTTGAACTTTTGAAAGTTTCTGCCAAGAGGTTAAACCTTGGAGCAAGGACTCCAAGGCAAGTAACAAGATCAGGACACTGCAAATGACAGAGAAACAGTTTATTTGGACAACAGCATTATTAGTATCAGATTAGCAGCCAGGGAGATAGGTTGAAGAGTGTTACAACTGAAAGTAACTTAGCAGCAGAAACAGGTATGAGAGACTCTTTAATCAAATCTGAGAACAATTCAGGGGACCTTCTATACATGCCAATTCACTGATTAATAGTGCATTTATATGCATGGTTACTTAGAAGTCCTACTGAGTTCCACTGTACTTACCCTTATGATAGTGAATGGGATTGGCAGTTTCAGTTTTGAAATGCTTACCATGACTTAAAAAAACCTTATTGTTTTTATATGCACAGATAAAAAATAATCCCAAGACCTGGAACTGAAATTGTGAAGTTGCCTCAACCTATGCATCTTGAATATGCTCCAAGGAGGGTACTTTGAGGGACCATAGCACAGTGGTATATCACACCCTTTTTCATGCATATCTCTCAGGGTCAATTAAGGGCATATCCAATTTGTTGGTTAAATGTTAAAAGCCATAAACAACCAGAGTAGACAAGATTTTGCCATAAGGATTTTCCTATGTTCCTATGATATATTACGTACATAAGGATTCCCAAGAAATGGAATCCTTAATTAAGTGCATTCTTAGATTTACTTCTATGCTGGACCTTCCTCTATGGGAACAGCTTACCTGAAGGAGTAATGGATGGTTATGAACTACCATTTCACATTTCTCACAATATCTTGGAATACTTAATGGAGTTTTGCTCCAGGAAATGTAAAATAATTACTTAAAATTCTTACATAATGGCCAGGATATCATGAAAAAATTAAAATGGATTACACTTGCCTACCATCCTGCCAGAGCAATTCCTCAAGGATGTCAATTACTGAAACTGGGCCTTAGCACAAATATGAGAAAATACTTGCCGCAAGTCCCAGTGATGTACTATTATAACCAGACTGATCTTGATAGAATTATTTGCGCTATTCTTGACATTTTTAGCTTGAAATACAAAGGTAAATATGAACTCCTGTCAATTATTAAAAGTTTAAGTTTAAAAACATATTACCCTTTTTTTTTTTAAGAAATAGTAATGATGAGTATTTTTCCAGGCAAGAAAAGGCCGATAGCATGATCATGCCAATTTAAAAGTAATACCAGAGTTTAATAGGACTTTCTCCTTTAAAACTGGGTACAAAATTGCAGGTTTAAGGATGTATTTCATGGAAAGCCATCACAGGTCACCAGTTATAGCCCTTCTACTTGGAAAACCTATAAATTATGTATTTTATAAATAAAGTTTTATAAATATTGTTGTGTAATTTTAATATGTATGTTTTCTTGGGATTTTGTGGGCTGTGAAAAGGAATTAATTTCATAAACAGATATTCCAGGCAGACAATACTTAGCATAAAAAAGCTTTGTGAAAGACATTTAAAGATTTGGGCTGATGACACACAACCATAAACAGGACAATAGTATCAAGATGCTAGTGACATACAGATTAGGATCCAGTCTCTAATCTGCTTGCTCTTGGATCCAGTAGAGTGTCAAAAATAATAAAATGAATGCATGACTTGTTTCAGTTACATGGAAAAATATCCTGTAAGTCAAATGGGCCTGGTGGATCATTCAATTTTTTAAAAATATGTTTACAGGAAATCTAGGTTTCATTTTATACCATTTTATTTTTAAAGTAATCTAGAAATAGCTCTTTAAAGAATGTATTTTCTCAAACTAATGTTTACCTCTCACTTAGCTTTGGGCAGTTTGTACCCTTCATCTTTTCCCCTCCATTGAACTATAATGTAACCCAGTGTAGTGCATATGCAATACTGTAGTACACCATTTTAAAAAAAAAGATGAAAAAGGTATAGTTGCATTCTTCTATCTACCTTTCTATGTTTTAAAATTGTATGGTTTGTAACATCATCATTTAAAGGTACCCTTGAAAGGACCAATCGATAAGCCTACTATATAAAGAAGGTCTAAGAGGATTGCGGATTAGCCTAGGATCTTATTAATATAATTACTCTGGACTGGCTGTCCAGTCTAGATAGAAGGAAAAATAACTATGCCTATTCTTTTAGTATTATTTCAAGGACAATAAAAATAAAATCTTAATTTAAACTTAAAGAATGGCATTGACTGTAAAATAAGTTACATCTGATAAAACATTTACCCACAATATCTATAGCATACAAAATGTTGGCAATTTAAATTTGATTAAGTATTAGTAAGAATTTAGATACCTTCTTAAACAACAAGGTTTGAAGTATATACTGTTTGAAAAACAATTCCTTAATATGGATAGGTAATCTTGTAAACCTTGGGGGTGCATAAATAATTTTCATCTTGTTTTGATCTACTACAAAATGGGTACTGATTTAAAAATTACAGGATCTGGCCTACTTTGCATGGGGTCAGAAATCAAGCAAGGTTGAACCTAATTAATATGTGGATGGGAGAGTAGGATGGAATTCCAAGGGTGTAGGACTGACTAGGTAGTCTGAAAAACATCTTGGAAAAAGGTACTGACAAACCACTTTCATACTACTATCAAGAAAACAGGAGTTGAGTTCAGCTTGAGTTGTCTTTACCTTTAAAAAAAAACCCAACAGCACCAATATACATAGAGGTTTTCATGGAACATAACTGAGTTCTAAGAAGTACTGTGACACAGAAGAGGGGTTAGGCTGAAGACACATGATACAGCTACTTCGCTAAAGGTCTGAAGATGCAGCGCCTGGACAGAAGATGCCCTGAGAAGCCCTATTTGCATTACTTTAAATTTAATCAAAGAAAGCCAGGATATACATGAATTAAACAGTCTAATTTGGAATATAATGCAATGATCATGTGCTCCACAGAATAAGAGCTGTGAACAGACTATACTGCTCCTACAATCAATTTGATTTAAGTTGATTTAAACGATTTAAAGAGTAATTTCAGTTGCTGTAAAGAATACCTACAGTTGCTGTATTGTAAACATTAGCATTTAATTCAAGTGGAGCCATAGTATACAAACATACATCAACTTTAGTCAATATATTTTCTTATTTTAGAATATATTCCACATCTGAATAAAAAAGTTTAAATAATCTTCAATACATGTACAACAATGGGACCCTTTATCTTTCCACTGAAATATGAGTGCACATTAGGTAACTGGTTCTACCCTCCACTGAAATATGAGTGCACATTAGTTAACTGGTTCTATCCACTGCAAAAAATATTTTAAGTGGCATATTTGCAGTTTCATGCAAACCAGTATGCAATAAGGAAAGATAAGTGTTGTATCTAAAGATGAACAATAACTGTTCACCCTATATATTAAAAAACATATTTAACTAGTGTTAATGTACATCTTTGTGCGTTGGTAAAAAATAAGACATCTATAGTTCTGACAGCATGCAGAGAATTCTTAAGACTTTATATACATACACCCACACACATATATATATTTATATTACAAAATTAGTGCAAAATTAGGAAAGAAGTGATACAATCATCTCTACAATTGCTGCCACCACATGCACTTGTGCAGTTTCCCAGCAATTACAAACGCACTCTTTCAGTAACTGGCCTGGGCCATTATACATCATTCTGAGTCCTTAGAATCTGGAAACTTTATACTTGGCTGCCTAGTTATGCCTGCTAGTCCAGGCAGAAATTTATCACCCTGCCTCCCTAAAAGTTTATAGTAGTCAACAGTAAAATTCTAGAATGAAAAGTCCTTTTTACTTATCTTTGTATTCTTCTCTCCAAGACACAATTTTTTTATACTGCATCCTATGCTTACTACTGACCTTGATATACTCCTTTGTACATTTTTTTTCACAAACTTAGTTACATCTCCCTCACACATACATACTGCATTCTTGCTTCCATTCTTCCTTAGCCCTTTCCAAATGCCTATTTCCCCCGTTTCTGATTTTACTTCTCACCCCAACAGACAGGCAGGCAGGCTATACTTTCCCCCTCCCTGATTCAGTGTCCCCAGTTGTTGACTCCAATCTCCTGCTTGTAGCGGTTGGTAAGTACATTGGCCTTGCGGGTAAGTTTGGAGAGCACTGTGTGCAGCCCACTCAGGTGATAATGAAATTGCTTCTCTAAATCCTCCTCCACCTCCTCATCTTCAGGAATCCCGCGGCTAATGTCCATGGCGCCAGGGCTTCCATTCAGCTTTTCCTTCTTCCTTCCAGTGGTTTCCTCATTTGCCTGCTGCAGCACACCCCATTCAATGTCGTTGCGAATGGACTTGAGCAGCATATAGTGGCTATACATATCTCTGCAAGAACAATAGGTACTGCCGTTGGGGGTCACCTGGGCCTCCCTTTCTCCACAACCACCCCCTGAATCCAGTTCATCCAGCATGAGGGGCACATCCCGAAGAAGGCTGGGCACCATCACTGTTTGGTCCATGTTGTTAACAGCTCCGATAAAGCGGTTCATTGCATTGAAGAGGGAATGTTTTTGGCTGTAAGAGTCACAGATCTGCATCATCTTGACTGCTGGGCAAGGTGTACTGTGAGCAGAGCAAACTCTCTGGCTGTGATAGAAGCCAGGTGAGAGAAGTAATCTAAGGAAGCTCTAGCTGGTTAGATGGAATCAGTGAGAAAAATTGCCGCCAAGCAGTTAAGTTTCTTTGTTTTCCAAAAAGAAAGATCACAGTGTTTTCTTTCCTCTACAAGAAAGTTCTTTCTCAAGGATTAAGCGGTATTTCTCCAATTTTCCTCCCCGAATGTTAGTTACAGTGAAGGCTCAGCGTAAGAAAGCCTCTGCTGCAAGGAGTGGCTGTAAAGGAGAACAAAAGATGGCGATTGAGACCAGCCCAGCGCCTTGCCCCAAGCCCTTGCCGCATCAGCTCTGGCTGCCCACTGGTTCAAGCACTCCCCTTTCATCTGGTGCCTGGCTCTTTTAAAATCCCCAGCTTTGTTCATGGTGCTCCTCCTCCAATATAAAATTGTATTAATTTATTCTGTTTCTATCCATGAAATAAACTATTAACAGTAAAAAAAGAAATCCTCTTCTCATCCGGACCTTCCATGTACCATCAATACACTCCCCCTTCCCGAATTAAACTGAGCAGACACATTTCTGTAAATACACGAGGAGTTAAAGGAGAGCACTTATAAGCACAACCAAAGCACCGAAATAACCACAGCCCATCTTTGCACACGCAGGGACAAGCAGCAGAACCCCATTCAGAGAGATTAGAAGGCAACATGCTTCTCCTCTGTAGCCATTTCACCCTGTTACCTCCTTTTCCACGTCGCTCCAACGCTAGACTTTTCTTGCCGAGAACCCCATCGCAGTACCTCGCCCTCCTTCCTTGGGAATGCTTACATACCTACACATGCGCGCCTCTTTAACAGCGCCTTTGGACTGCCAGCTCCACCCAAAGTGAGTAGAACCCCGGCTTGCCTCGCTTCTGCTTTCCTCCCGTTCAAACAGAACTTCCTCCAATGCATAAGATGCGCGGGGGGAAGAGTCTGAAGTAACTCTTCTCCTGCCGATCCCAAACACATTACTCGCAAGACGTGAGAAAACCCCCGATCTACTCGAAAGAATCGTCTCGCCGCTGTTTCCATTCAAAGCAGCAAATGGAATGCAGCCGAGGGGCTGAAATAAGCGCGCGCGCGCGCGCCCGCTCTTGCACTCACCGCGAGCTTCAAGGGCTGGCTCACTGATGGCGGCTAGCCGGCTCCGGGCGCGTCCCAGTGCCCTACTGCAGTCTTTCGCTCTGTCCCTACCTCACAGCAGTATTTATAGGGCGTATGTTAAAATAAGGTGTTTCCAAGGGCCACCCCCTTGCAGTGAAGCAAGGCAAGAACAAAAAAAAAAGAGAAGAGGCTTCTCTGACTCTCCAAGTGACCACATGTAATACCGGATTCTGCTAGCAGCCTCGAGACGTAGCTCCGCCTCTTCACCAACCTCCACCGGGGAGGGCCCTATGCGCAGTGGTATTGGTTGGGGGAGGGGAAGCTGTCAAACAGAGTCTCTCACCCCACTATGAAAGCCAAGGGAAATCTTTGCACCATCCCCCGAAGCAGGAGTTAGCTTGCTCTTCGTCAGATTCTCAGGCTGTCATGGAGGAGTGAGTAAAACAAACACGACCGGGTTTGCTCTCCTCTTACAACCCCGCTTGTGGGAGCATCAAGACCTCAATGCTCTTCCAGCCCCCCATTGCGAGGCAACCAGCGTGGCTCAGAGGGAGAGAGAGGGAATAAAAAAGATAAACAGGTTATTGAAACCAGCGTCCCACATGCTGTGTGATCGCTGCCGAAAAGCAACCAAAAGATCAAAAATGTTGGCAACTGTTAGAGGCAGTTACCTTAAAATACACCAGGCAGCAGGACAAGTTCCGCAGCAATGGAGGGCAGGACGTTTTCTTTCTTTTCACTAACAGCTTCCCCTCTCCTGTACCCCTTTCTTGCTCAAAGGCAGCTGGCGGAGCGGCACCCTCTTTGCACTGGTCTCTTACCAGGCTTCAGACCCAGAGTTTATGTTAGGGCCAGGACCAGTCTTAGGGCTTCTCTGACACGGTAACAAAAAATGCCGAGCCTGGTGTGACGGAGTAATCACACCTGGCTCTTAAAATCTTGGGACAGTCGGAGAGTATTGCTGCCTCAAGCAACTGCCTTGAGGATTTACGCAGTCCCGTGAAAGGAGCCCATGAATTGTTCCACGAACAATTTCTAGTCTGTGAAAAGTGCTCTTTAAGCGTGAGGTCATTCCCCTTTCCTCGGGTTCAACTTCAAATAAGATATGAGGCAGGTGTCTGCGGGCAACTTATTACTATTTTAAATAAAATGCAGCGGCAACTCTCCTAGGGGATGGCCTAACCCTTCCCGGTTGCTAGTTTCCCGAAGCAAATTGCCTCCCGGGGGCTTTTATCCCGCAGGGGAAATATTTGGGGTCAGAGTGCAAATGATTCGGGACTAGACTGCAGAACACACGAACTTCTATTCCTTCTAATGTGGCCTTAATGGGGAAATATGAAAGGACTGCAGACTCTTCTTTTCTAAAACCCTCTTTACTCTGATATAAAAACCTTTAAATTCTATCTTCAGCCCTGACATCGATCTGTGCAGTGTAAGGTTTCGAGAATATTATTAAATTGCTATTAGGCAGATTTTCTACGGCCAAAAATATCGAGAGCAGCCAGCCAGTTGACAGAACATTTGTATGGATTATTCCCTTCGCGAGGGGCACATCACATTCAAGTTTAAGCCTCTTGCCACGCAGGATGGAAGGAGAGCGCATATTTTCCTAAGTATGCACTTTTTTACTGGAGGATAAACCCTGTTTCCGTGGGACGTCTTATTCCAGTTAAGTGTGCCTAAGGATTTACCATCATTTCTCAAGCTCAAATATCCTAGACACGGGGATCTCGGTTGATTTTCCCCTTTATAACTCTTTCACCATACTACACCAGAGCTGCCCAGGATTTATTGCGCATTAACAAAAAAATCCCTTATCAATTTAACCAGATGAACTAGCGTATTTCTGCGTTAGCGGCAGTAGCATGTGGTGGCTTGGTTGTTTTTGTCGCCTCGGAGGCCTATTTCGAAGGTCAAATCTATTTGCTTGATTCGTATCACAAGCAAGTCTCTAGCAATTGGGCGGGCATTCCGTCGCTTTTCACGCCTCAGATGCGTGAACACGACTCTTACCAATGCAGACATTCCACTTCCGCGAGCAGGCTCCGCAGCGGAGCGGCCTCGACGGTCTGCAAGCGAACGCCTACAACTTTTCTTCCCTTCCTCCATCCAGAATGACAAAATAGAGACTATAAGCCGCGAGAAAACACGGGTTGGCGCGCGATACTTTTCGGGGCAAAGGAGGTCACGCGCACACACAAAACCTCCTCGTGCCACCTCGCGGAGCTGAGGCCGTCAATGTCCGACAGTTACCGGCCTGCCGGGATCACCCCACAGCCTTACCTCCAGCTTCAGCCAATCGCTGTGCGTTCTGCTAGTCAGACTCCGTCCGGATATGCTAATGAGCGAGTCTAGGCAATGCCCAATCAGAAATAACACTTCCTGTCTCTTTCTGCTCCAGCGCCCGTGGCAACAAAGGAGTGGCAGCTGAAAGAGCAGCGTGAAGGTCTCGTGGCGGGGAGGGGAAGAGAACGGGAGTGAGTGTGTTGCCCTGACAACCTATAAACCACAATAAGCCAAAGCATCGGGACATAATGGCTCCCTGTCTTTCGCACACTTTATACCGCTTTTTCTGGAAGGAAGAAAAAGGGATAAAGGCTCTTACAGTACTTGAAGCCAGTACATCATGCTACACCCTCGCATCTATTGCAAACAGAAAAAAATGACTAGTTTATTTCTAGGCAAACTCCTTTAACGTTATTAATTTTTTTTAATCACCTAAATGTGTATTAAGCTGTACTGTAGGAAAATGCAAACCATAGTGTTTACTAGTTGCTTTAGACACAAGTGGTCTATTGGGAAGTGCTCCTGCACAAATCAAATTGAAATGAAAATAAGTGAAAGCAGATTGTAATTCATTGTTTTATATTGCATCATTTTTTTACCTTGTGGTAAGTCATTTGATTAAATGTAATATTATCATTATTATTATTTCAATGAGAATTGCCAAAGCTTCCTTTAAAAATGACCCCTTTGTTTCTTTCTGTTTGTTGGATTTGGATTTGTTGAAGATTTGTGCTACTAGTTCAATTTTTCAAAAACAACAGGAAAGTAAGAAAAGAGGTTGAAGGAAAAACTTAATTAACCAGTTATGATCTCCTGAATAGTCTTGAAGTTATACAGTAACAAAGATTGAGGATAAACAATACATCATTACCAATGCATTAATGGAATTTTAAGAAATCTTTCAAAATGTAAAAAATAAAAAAAGGTAGGATATAGTACGGGCAAGGAAAGAGATTGTCATCTTCCAGCAATGTTTGCTTAATTTTTCCACTAGTATAGTAATACTTATTGCAGAAGAAGGCAAAGCGAACCAATTTGGTAACAAGATTGCATGAAAGAAGTCACCAGGAGCAAGGACATCTTTACTTTTAATCCAGGCAAAAATAAAGTTTGCTTCTTTTTCCTTGCCTAAAAATATGTGCATGTCCACACACTTTCTTAACCACAGTATGTACCTCTTCATATAGTTTGGGGAAATAAATGGTTTGGTTAGCTGCAGTGTCATATGGGTATATATAAACTCAAAAGGTTGTGACTGTCTTTTAGAGAAAAAGATAATCGAGCTTATTTTGTCTGATTCAATTCCTTATACCCTATTTCTTTTTCCAAAGCAGCACAATATTGAAATGGCATAACATTAAAGAGGGTTTTGATGGTTTGATTATTTCTATACAGGTAGTCCCAGGTTAAGAACGCCCAGTTTAACCATGACCGATAGTTAAGAATGGAGCCTATTGTAGCAAAATTTGAGTTAACTACCCAATGATTTGAGTTAAATACACAATGGATTGAGTTAATTACACAATACTACTTTTATAGTATTACACAATAATACTGTTCCAGCTTACAAATTCAACTTAAGGGCAGACCTTGGGAACGAAACTCGTTCTAAAACTGGGGACTACCTATAATTCAAAATAAGGGGAAAATTGTAAACATAAGTTTCTGATCTTAAAAACAGGAACTATTATGATCATGTAGAGATATTGATAGTTACTTCTTTCTAAAGTTGGCCTAAGGATGTTCAGTTGAAACTGATGTCATACATTCAACATTTTTTTGACTTTGACATTCTTTGGGAGAAGAATAATGCTATGACAGTCTTTAATGCTTCAAAGTAGGATGTAGTGAGGAAGCTCACATATTCATTGATGATGAATGCCATTTTTCAGGGGACTGTTTTTAAAGAGAAGACTTTGAAACTTGCCTAGTAATTGCAATAATGATTAAACTATAGGGTATCTGGAAGGGTAGAATGAGAGTATGTTTGCACAGGAGCATTTAGCAACCCCATAACAATGCATACGAAGTAATAAATAAAAGAGTGATATGAGGGTGTAATTGTTTTAGTGGCCTTCAGCAGAAAGAGTGACTTTGCTTATTTAAAATAATAAAAACCTGTCATCACCTATGCAGTCGCTATATAATAATAATAACGGTGGCATGGATTTACTATGTAGTTTTTTCCCCCCTTAGGACATGCTAAACAAGAATAGCCAAGAAAAAGAAAAAGAAAAAAGAAAGAAACCTGCCCACCAAAGTTGGAGGTGCTTGTCTTTCATAATTAAACCTTCTCTGATAGGAAATAGGGAAAGTGTGTTATCCCTGTATAAGCCTGGAACATTCCTCAGGAAGGAATACAAAAAGGACTTTGTGAGGCAATTACTATCAGGGAAACTGGAATTGTTGTAGACTTCTGTCCTAAACTAGACTGGTGCCCTCCAGATGTGTTGGACTGCAACATGCCACAGTGGCTATGCTCCCTTAAATCAGTGGTCAGCTAGATTGGTTGGAACTCACAATTGCATGCCAATCTGGTTTAAGGACAACAGGATAACAACAACAGTACCAACTCACAAGTATTTACTAGAATCCTAAGAAATAAAGCCACAAATTCATATCTAGGGCTAAAGGTAGGTTTCAGATCCAAAAATGTTGGATACTGTTAAAATATCTAGAAAA